CTCAAAAAGTCGACAAAATTTTAGAAAACATAAAATCTTCCACTTACTTACTGTCATCAATAAGATACACAAAGAATTAGAGGTCAGAGTTAGACCACTCGCTTATTACTTTCAAAATATCTGTCAAAGACCTCAAGAAATCAAAGAAGTTTTAGGAAAATCAGAATCTTCGACTCACCTACTGTCATCAATAAGACACACAGAAAATTAGGTCCCAATATTAGACCACTCTCTTATTACTTTCCAAGCATCTGTCAAAGACCTCAAGAAGTCGAAGAAATTTCAGGAAAATCAGAATCTTCGACTCACCTACTGTCATCAATAAGAAAACACAGAGAACGAATTGTTAGCATTAAACAACTCACACTATTACTTTCAAAATATCTCTTGAAGACGTTAAAAATTAACAAAATTTCAAAAAACATATATTCTTCGACTCACCTACTGTCATCAATAAGACACACAGAGAATTAGATGTCAAAGTTAGACCACTTGCTTATTATTTTCAAAACATCTGCCAAAGACTTCAAGAAGTCGACAAAATTTCAGAAAACATACGTTCTTCGACCGACTTACTGTCATCAATAAAATACACAGAGAATTAGGCCTCAGTATTAGACCACACACTTATTACTTTCAAAACATGTATCAAAGACCTCAAGAAATCGAAGTTTCAGGAAAATCAGGATCCTCGACTCACATACTGTCATCAATAAGACACACAAAGAATCAGGCCTCAGTGTTAGATTACTCCCTTATTACTTTCAAAACATCTGCCAAAGACCTTAAAAAGTCGACAAAATTTCAGCAAAATCAGAATTTTCGACGCATCTACTGTCATGAATAAGACATACACAGAACTAGGATTCAGCGTTAGATTGCTCGCTTATTACTTTCAGATCATCTGTTGAGGATCACAAAAAGTCGATAAAATTTCAGAAAAATCAAAGTCTTCAACTTACCTACTGTCATCAATCAGGAATACTGGAATAGAGCAATTGTACAATTTCTTTCAGAATATTCCTTGAAGATCTCAAAAAGTCGACAAAATTTTAAAAAACATACGTTCTTCGACTGACTTACTGTCATCAATAAGACACACAAGGAATTAGACCTCAGCATTAAACAACTCACACTATTACTTTCATAATATCTTTTGAAGATGTCAAAAATAAGCATAATTTCAGAAAATATACGTTCTTTGACTCACTTACTGTCATCAATAAAACACACAGAGAATTAGGCCTCAGTGTTACACCACTCTCTCATTACTTTCCAAACATCTGTCAAAGACCTCAAGAAATCTAAAAAATTTCAGGAAAATCAGGTACTTCGACTCACCTACTGTCATCAATAAGGCACACAGAGAATTAGGTCCCAATATTAGACCACTCCTTTATTACTTTCCAAACATCTGTCAAAGACCTCAAGAAGTCGAAGTTTCAGGAAAATCAGAATCTTCGGCTCACATACTGTCATCAATAAGACACACAAAGAATTAGGCTTCAGTATTAGACAACTCACACTATTACTTTCAAAATATCTCTTGAAGACGTCAAAAATAAGCATAATTTCAGAAAACATACGTTTTTCGACTGACTTACTGTCATCAATAAGACACACAAAGAATTAGACCTCAGCATTAAACAACTCACACTATTACTTTCATAATATCTTTTGAAGATGTCAAAAATAAATATAATTTCAAAAAATTCTTTGACTCACTTACTGTCATCAATAAAACACACAAAGAATTAGGCCTCAGTGTTACACCACTCTCTCATTACTTTCCAAACATCTGTCAAAGACCTCAAGAAATCTAAAAAATTTCAGGAAAATCAGATACTTCGACTCACCTACTGTCATCAATAAGGCACACAGAGAATTAGGTCCCAATATTAGACCACTCCCTTATTACTTTCCAAACATCTGTCAAAGACCTCAAGAAGTCGAAGTTTCAGGAAAATCAGAATCTTCGGCTCACATACTGTCATCAATAAGACACACAAAGAATTAGGCTTCAGTATTAGACAACTCACACTATTACTTTCAAAATATCTCTTGAAGACGTCAAAAATAAACATAATTTCAGAAAACATACGTTCTTCGACTCACTTGCTGTCATCAATAAGACACACAAAGGATTAGACGTCAAAGTTAGACCACTCGTTTATTACTTTCGCAACATCTGCCAAAGACTTCATAAAGTCGACAAAATTTCAGGAAACATACGTTCTTCGACTCACTTACCATCATCAATAAGACACACAAAGGATTAGACGCCAAAGTTAGACCACTTGCTTATTACTTTCAAAACATCTGCTAAAGACTTCATAAAGTTGACAAAATTTCAGAAAACATACGTTTTTCGACTCACCTACTGTCATCAATAAGACGCACAAAGAATCAGGCCTCAGTGTTAGATTACACCCTTATTACTTTCAAAACATCTATCAAAGACCTCAAAAAGTCGACAAAATTTCAGAAAACATACAATCTTCGACTCACCTACTGTCGTCAATAAAACACACAGAGAATTAGACGTCAGAGTTAGACTAGTTCCTTATTACTTTCGAAACATCTGTCAAAGACCTCAAGAAGTCGAAGAAGTTTCAGGAAAATCAGAATCTTCGACTGAGCTACTCTCGTCGGTAAGAAGCACAGAGAACGAAACCTCGGTATTAGAGCACTGACGCAATTACTTGGTCGTAAAACCCCACGTGGATCGGCTGGGCGAAAGAGTTTCCGGTACGGAGCCGCTAGTCCAGGCGAGAGGAAGTGTACCCCGTTGGACGCTGGGACAGGCTTTCGTTTAGCTCGGGTGGGACGGGACATGTCAAAGAACTTAATTTCTTCGCGGCGGACCCTAATTTCTCCGGTGTTTTAGTTTAGTATAGGTTCGGCTGGCACGGCTGTAATCAGGAGGGTCTTAATGGTGGGTTGCCTGGTCCGGCGTGTGAACTGTGGGCGTGAACGACTCGCTTCCTATCTTCGGTATCTGACGTGCAGCACGTGCTGGACTGGGAGACCTTCTTGCCGCTATTAAGAAGCGTGCTCCGTAACATCTCCACGGATCTCTCAGCCCGCACCGTCGATTCCTTTCGTCGATAAGGAACGCTTTGCCCCGTGGAATTTCCAATTCCTCCTCTTCGCGTGGCAGAAAACGCCGGTTTCCATAATTAATTTCCCCTCGTGCGCCGCCATCTAACCGAGATCTATCGATCTCGCGCGCGATAACGCCACGCAACGCACGCATTTTCCACGCAATTTCTTTTCCACTATTTGTTTTCCACGATTTTTCTGCAAATTCGTAAATTACCGAGTCAAATGTTTGTTATATCGTTATATTATATTTACCGACAATTTATACTACCACTGATGGAAACCTAACCTCAACCTAACCTAAACGCAATGATACGAAGTTATTTGAAATTATTAGATGACGGGAAAAATTATGAGATGTAAGTTTGTTATATCGTTATATTATATTTACCGACAATTTATACTACCACTGATGGGAACCTAACCTCAACCTAACCTAAACGCAATGATACGAAGTTATTTGAAATTATTAGATGACGGGAAAAATTATGAGATGTAAGTTTGTTATATCGTTATATTATATTTACCGACAATTTATACTACCACTGATGGGAACCTAACCTCAACCTAACCTAAACGCAATGATACGAAGTTATTTGAAATTATTAGATGATGGGAAAAATTATGGGATGTATGTTTGTTATATCGTTATATTTACCGACAATTTATACTACCACTGATGGGAACCTAACCTAAATCTAACTTTAGTGCAATGATACGAAGTTGTTTGAAATTATTAGACGATGGGAAAAATTATGAGATGTAAGATTGTTGAAATTATTAGTTGTTAAATTATTAACCCTTTGCACTCGAGGGGTGAGCTTCAGTCACCATTTCATAAAATTTGGAAGATCGATATTAATTAATATATCAAATTTAATGTAATGTAACAGTGTGCGAAGTATCGAAGTCAAATAATTCTACAATTTTATTATTATACAATTCTTTATTTACTGCTCAAAAAAGTATCGTCAGTTTTATAGTAGAGAATCTTTGAATTTCTGCTCTTCTCTAGCCAAAAACTCGTCGAGTGCAAAAGGTTAAATGTTGTAATATAAGCGTTAGGTCGATCTGGCATGAAATTAAGAAGAATAGAGTGTTCGATGCTTGCGACATCTGCACGCGTGAGAGTGAAACTAGAGAACGTGATGAGTTTCCCTTCTACGTTCCATTTTTCTTCTGTTTCTTCTTCCATTTTGTCGATTGACGTTTATTCTTGATCTGTATGTTACGCGAAGTATGAATCTGTGGTGTAGTGTATTGATTTTAATCACCATAATCTCATTTAGTTTGTTCAAACCTAAGATTCTGTATTATAATTCCTGTCAAATAGCTTCATGTATATTAACTCTTTGCATTGCAATGGCGAGTCTTACTGGTCACAAGTCCTTGATGCCAAATTTCATGATTACAAACTATTTACAATAATTATGCGACTATAATTATATTTTACACGTTTGAACGTGCACAAAATTATAAGAATTTCTAAAATTTTTATTTAATTTTGTCATGAATGGAATAGGTATACAGTGGTTAACTAAAATTGAATATTACTTTAATAAATGTATTTTCATAATTAAATCGTTAAATTGTGCAAGGGATTAAATATTATTTAGATATTAGTAGAATATTTTTAGTAGAATATATTCATACACGAAATTTTGTATTAATACAACATTGTATGAATATTAAATTCAAATAATATTGTATATTACTGAAATATTGTATTAATATAGTAATTAATATTATGCAATGTATATATGTTTTTTCAATATTTTTCTAGCAAATAATAATTGTAAGTTTTGTATATTCGTAGACTGTCAGTTTTAATTAAATTAATTTTAATTTAATCTTCTTTAATAAGGTTTAGATTTATTTTGTTGTGTTCTGGGTTCTAGGTGGAAGCAGTGGTGATGATTCAGACACAGAGAGTGAACCGGGCATTGCTTTGAAGAGAAAACAACGTAGAAGTAGAACTACATTTACTGGTGAACAGCTTGAACAACTCGAAGCAGCTTTTCATCGAACACAGTACCCTGACGTATATACCAGAGAAGAATTGGCTCAAAAGTAAGCACAATTTTGTGCACTATTTGTATTAATAATTATTTAATAATAATCTCTCTTAAATGTAGCGTACTGATGATAATAATTACATAACTATTTCAATTTATGAATAACATCAATTTTGCTAAAAATAATTCCACGCTGGCAGTAATTGAAGAGCAAAGAATTTGAAATCCATATTAACGAGTTTCGTAGCTCTAGTGTTAACTATCCAATCACCGAAACTGAAAATTCGAAGAATCTAACCCAGTTAACCGAAAATTCGAAGGACCTAACCTACCTAACCGAAAATTCGAAAGACCTAATCTACTTAATCGAAAATTCAAAGGACATGACTTACCTAACTGTAAATTCGAAGGACCTAACGTACCTAACCGAAAATTCGAAGGACCTGACCTACCTAACTGTAAATTCGAAGGACCTAACTTACTTAATCGAAAATTCGAAGAACCTAATCTACCTAATCGAAAATTCGAAGAACCTAACCTATCTAACCTAAAATTCGAAGGACCTAACCCACATAACCGAGAATTCGAAGGACCTGACCTATCTAACCGAGAATTTGAAGGACCTAACCCATCTAACAGAAAATTCGAAGGACCTGACCTATCTAACCGAGAATTTGAAGGATCTAAGCCACCTAACTGAAAATTCGAAGGTCCTGACTTATCTAATCGAAAATTCGAAAAACCTAACCTATCTAATCGAAAATTCGAAGGACCTAACCCATCTAACTGAAAATTCGTAAGACCTGACCTACCTAACCAAGAATTCGAAGAACCTAAGCCACCTAACCGAGAATTCGAAGGACCTGACCTACCTAACCGAAAATTCGTAGTACCTGACCCACCTAACCAAAAATAGCTCGCGAAATTTTCAAAATGCCGAATAGCTTTTCGCGATTTGAAATTAAAGAATGGAGCAATCATCTGAATATCTCTTGTCCTGTTCTTCGTTCCAGAACAAATCTGACGGAAGCCCGGGTGCAAGTATGGTTCAGCAACAGACGAGCCAGACTTCGCAAGCAATTGAACAGCCAACAGTTGAACGCTTTCAACACAATGAGCTTGCAGTCCTTTCAAACACAGCACTACGGTAGCAGCGCTGAAAGTTATCAGAGCTACGGCCAAGCCTCTGTTGCTGCAGCGGCGGCGACCACGGCTGGTTATCCCCAGCACTACAACTATAGCGAGAATTACTATGCTGCCCAGCAACAATGGCCAAGACCAACCGCAGAGAATTATGGGTGAGTTATCATTTATTAAAGTCTCGTATCGGTCAGGAGATAGCGAGGTTGAAAACTGCGATTCGTTCTGCTAACTTGAGCCACTATTGAGGGGTTAGGCATCTGTGAATTGTCAGTGTGGTTGATGACTTCCTCCCGATGACTTAATACTTCGTTGTATTAATTTGAGGACGTTCTCTTGGCTAAAGCTCCACGATGGTATTAATTAACCATGTAATTCGTTCTGGTAATTCGAACCACTACCGAGTGGTTAAGCATCTGTTAATTTCAAGAGTACCTCGAGGTATACTTCGGTGGTTAGGTTTGGATCGAGAGAATTGATTTTAATCGGCTCTAAGTTCTTCTGTTGGGTTTGTTCGAAGAAATAAATTTATGAGGTAGAAAGTGTACATGAAAGTTCTTTTTCGAGATTTCAGGTCGAATTTCATTATTTCTTAAATAGAGTATGGTATTTTTTATCTTGTAATTCGTAGACTTGATAAAATTGTAACACACAATTTAGCAATAACTATCAAGAAAATTGTTTTTAGATTGCTATATACCGTTCTAATAATTTTAATTAATTTTATAAAATATTTTCGAAATTTAGTTAACCTTATTAAAATTTTTCAGATAAAATATGTTATGTCAAGTATTATGATAAACATTTTTTTCTGAGGCTTATATTTTTTGTAAGTGACGTCATTTTCGAATTTTAATATTCCACAATTTTATTCGTAAATTTAAGGTAACACACGAGGAGAATGATGATCCTTTGAGATTAAAATTTCTCATTATTGATCGTTTCATAAGAGTTTCATAAGAATTCGCACGGTATGGGAATAAAATCGTGTTATACAACGAAAATTTTCAATCTGCTTTTGTAAAATATTGTCACTGCAATAAAATCATTTCTGGAATTATCGATTTCACTAAAATGGATCGAAACTTTCCGATAACCTCACCATACTACATATACCATGAAAATATTACTTTTACCAGTAATAATAAAATTACGTTCACGGAAATTATTTTAAACTGACACAATAACGCAATTTCAACTTAATTTTGAATAACTTCGAAAATTAGAAACATAACCTAAATCAAATTAAAAATATTCCACATTCCCATAACTACTAATATCCTTAAATTGCCAACAATTTTCGTTAACATAAATCGAAACTTTCCAATAATAATCACTTATAGTAAATAAATTATTTATAGTATTATATCATTATTTTTATAGTAAATAAATTACATGTATTAAATTATTCCAATTTATCACAATAACGTAATTTCGTATATCACGTTAGAGCTCAATCTTGACTAAATCAGTCTTAAATAACCATATTTGAAATAACCTCAGTCCTGGGTAACCTCAGAAACTCGAAACCTAAATCAACATAACCTAAAAATACTCCACATAATATTTCCACATACTCGTAGTACCAGAACTACTCATATCAATAAATTACCAATAATTATGACTAAAATAAATCGAAACTATCCAAAAGCCTCACGAACTTACATATTATCGCTTATAGTAAATAAATTACATCTATTAAATTAGTCCAATTTATCAAAATAATATAACCTTGTACCTCACGTAAGAGCTCAATCTTGACTAACTAAATACAGTGCACCCAAAATGACATTAATTAACATGACATAATGAAAATAAAATAGCATACGCAATTGTGACCTCATTCGAACAAAACTTACCATAATTCTTACCAGAAGTAGCTGAATATTTTCAGCAATCGCGAAAATAAAATGTCCAAAGCAATTTTTACTTCCACAATAGTAATAATAACATAATAATAGACATAATAACATAATAATAAATATAATAATAGTAAACACAATAACCATATTTCAAATAACTCCACTAACCTCAAAAACGGTAAGCCCGAAACCTAACCTAGCCCAACATAACCTAAAAATGCTGCACGTAACATTTCCGCATTTTGTATCCATATCCGCCACATCTACGACAAACGTTCAATAGCCAATCCTTCTTCGATATCCCCTTTCACTTAAAAGACATTCACTCGTAACAGTTTCCTGTATTCACCCTATATACCGAGAAGACATCGGTAACTCGCAAAACGTCGACTTCGTCAGGCTTAAAAACCAATGGCGGAGGACCCCCCACGAGGCAGGGTCCACTGTCGAAGCAAAGTGCACGTTGTCGGGGTAGAGATACATTATCCCGGACGTTTAAAGCGAGCGAGCAGCACGGAGGGGAAAGTGTAGTAGAAAAAAGGAAAGAAATCCGGTAGATACCCGGCTGGAAGAAGGAGCGAGGCTGAGGCCTGTGCTCGCAGGGTGTTTCGAACAATTAATTCAGCCATTGTGGCGTAATAACAGGTTGGCGAAATGCTCGCCTGCTGCAGCGTGCTGTTACACGCCGAGTGCAGAGGCCAATTCGCTGCAACGCAGACCGCAAACGACGAAAGTCTTAGGAGGAAGACGCACGAAAACGGGGAGTAGCGAGAAATTGAAAGTGGAATCTGAGAAGTTGAAGTTGAAGATGGGGGAAGATTGAACGGGAACGCGCCTTTTTACCAAATTTCAACTGATCTCGCTATTTCTTACGTTTCTTCTGCATCTTACTGACTGTTTCTGAGTTACTATCGTTCTTCTCGATGATCCTTTTTGAGCAGTGTTAGGAAATTTTGGTGTTATGAGAAATTCTGAAATTTTTTGACATCGTGTCTCGAAAATTCGTATCATCGTAGACAATTAAGAAATATTTTGATGTATTTATTCATATTTGAGCGACTTTTTATTTGACAAATTGGATAACTTCAGAAAATAGAAAATTTATTTTAAATATAAAATTTAATTTGGTCGTGAAATTTTTAAAAATTTAGAAAGTGGAGCTATTTGATTTGCTATATAAGGAACTCGTTTATTAATTAGGTATGTACAATGTGTAAGAAATTAAGGTTATGCAAATCCTAAATTCCTAAAACCAAAAAATTTGAAATCCTGGCAAACCTCAATAATAACTCCAAAAAATTGTGAATAGTTGTTTCGAAGTACTGGAGGAAGCTGGAAGATTCAAAAATGGAGGATCTGAAATGCAAATAAATAAAGGACACGATAAAGGAGAATCTACCTTAATCAAATATCATAACCTAACATTCACACTGAAACCCAAAACTTTACCAAAGTTAACCAATTTTAATAAAAAGGAATACACATGAGGACAACTCTAGAAAATTGCAATCAATTTTCTCAGAATACTCATTTCAACGTTGAGAAATCTCAAAACGAAAATTCAAACAGTAAAGAGACGGCAGAGGGGAATATTCATTAATTCTGTACCCAAAATATCATTAAATTCAACCAATTTTAATACAATAAAAAAAAAAATTGTCAAGTGATTCTAAAAAATTGTAAAGAATCATCTCAAAAATTCAAATCTCGAAGCTGTGAGATGCCAAAACGGAAAATCCAAAAGGCAAAGAGACCACAATTCTTTAACTAAATATCCTAACCTAACTTATACACTCTAATCCAAAATTAATCCAAAAATTGTAATAAAGAAAAAGAAAAACTCACCAAGGAGTGATTTCAAAAAATTGTAAACAATCGTCACAAAAATTCAAATCTCGAAGCTGAAGGATCCCAAAATGGAAAATCTAAAGGGACTACAATTCCTTAACTAAATATCATAACCTAACTTATACACTCTAATCCAAAATTAATCCAAAAATTTTAATAAAGAAAAAGAAAAACTCACCAAGGAGTGATTTCAAAAAATTGTAAACAATCGTCACAAAAATTCAAATCTCGAAGCTGAAGGATCCCAAAATGGAAAATCTAAAGGGACTACAATTCCTTAACTAAATATCATAACCTAACATACACACTCTAATCCAAAGCTCCACAAAATATAACTAACTTTAATAAAGAAAAAGAAAAACTTATCAAGAAGTGATTTTAAAGAATTGTAAACAATTGTCTCAAAAATTCAAATCTCGAAGCTGAGAGATGACAAAACGGAAAATCTAAAGGGCAACGTATACACTCTAATCCAAAACTTCACTAAATTCAACGAATTTTAATACAATAAAAAAAAAACTTATCAGAAAGTGATTTTAGAAAATTGTAAACAATCGTTTAAAAAATTCAAATCTCGACGCTGAGAGATGCCAAAAAGAAAAATCTAAAGGGCAAAGAGACCACAATTCCTTAACTAAGTATCATAACCTAACGTATACACTCTAATCCAAAATTAATCTAAAAATTTTAATAAAGAAAAAGAAAAACTCACCAAGGATTTTCGAAAATTGTAAACAATCGTCTGAAAAATTCAAATCTCGACGCTGAGAGATGCCAAAAAGAAAAATCTAAAGGGCAAAGAGACCACAATTCCTTAACTAAGTATCATAACCTAACGTATACACTCTAATCCAAAACTAATCTAAAAATTTTAATAAAGATAAAGAAAAACTCACCAAGGAGTGATTTTCGAAAATTGTAAACAATCGTCTGAAAAATTCAAATCTCGAAGTTGAGAGATTCCAAAACGTAGAAACTGAAGGGCAAAGAGGATAAAAGGGCCTGCGCAGCAGAGGAAGGAACAGGTGAGAGGAGAGACTCCGCGGGTAGGAAAAGAGAAAGAAAGGAAGCAGGGACGAAGGATGAAGAGAGAGAGAGAGAGCAGTCGGCCTGGGCATGTTGGAGCAGTTGGGACCCCACCGACACGTTTTCTGTGTGGTCCTCAATTATGTTGCTTCTTCGGCCCCCGTAATGAAACGCTACCGGCTAATAATCCAACGCGGGTCTTGATCTTCGCCGATGATCCAGCTTTAACCGGGGGTCTTCGTGGCCTTTCCTTCACCCCGGAAGCGTTTCGACCTCGACTTGCCTTGCTTTTCGGCATCCCCGGCGAATTCCTTCGGCCCGAGACATTACCACGAACGTTTCTCACTCGTTTTATCGACTCGCCAAAACTCACCAGCGATTCCGGAAATCTCGTCGCATAAGATTGCGTCACGCGGTTCGACAGCTAATATCATCGCCGTTCGAATTTCGCGGCGCGCCGCGGCACTCAAGGCGCATGCGTTTTATGGTAGCCATTTTCGCTTTACACGCGGTAACCGTCGTGCACCACCTTTCGATGTTTCGAATTAAGCAGGACATTTCGTTGTGATTAAAATCTGATTGGTTGGACTGGAAATAGAAGCAAGTGGCAACTGCGTTTCGTCGACTAATTTATTTTAAGCTTCGGGAAAGGAGGATTTTACGAGACAGTAACACGTATCCCCGCGGAAGAGGTTTAAGAGAGGTTAGGACGTTCGGAAAGTGGAACTGTTCACGAAAAGGTATGGAATGTTTATTGGTATCTTGAAATATAAGAAGCTTCGGTGAGATTTGAGGGAAATGTAATTTTATTGGTTCATCTTTTGCCTCGCAAGAGTCAGAATTTTGTAGAAACATTGTATACTTTGCAGCAGTCAATTGTTGATATTATTTGATAATTATACGTGCGAAGTGTGTGTCAAGATGTAGAAAATTAATTAATTTGGATACAATAAAGATGCGTAGATGTGAAAATATAATTAGGAAACTAGGAAAGTAACTAAAAGTTACTAGAAGATCTGATCTTTTCACCAACTTTCAGATTTAGTGTGCAAATGTTATTATTATATATTTTGCAGCAGTCAATTGTGTGATATTGTTTAATAAATATATGTGTGTGTCAGAATGTAGAAAATTAATTAATTTGGATACGATAAAAATTCGTAGATGTGAAAATACAATTAGGAAACTAGGGAAGTAACTAAAAATTACTAGAAGATCTGATCTTTTCACCGATTTTCAGATTTAGTGTGCAAATATTATTATTGTATATTTTGCAGCAGTCAATTGTGTGATATTGTTTAATAAATATATGTGTGTGTCAGAATGTAGAAAATTAATTAATTTGGATACGATAAAAATGCGTAGATGTGAAAATACAATTAGGAAACTAGGAAAGTAACTAAAAGTTACTAGAAGATCTGGTTTGTTTACTGATTTTTAGATTTAGTGCGCAAATCTTATTATTGTAGACTACTGAATAAGATTATAATTCTCAAATAGCTCAGAAAATGTCAAAGTTAGGAGAATTTCAAAAATTTCTATCTTTTTTTAAATGTAGACATTACAATTTCTTAGAATCTACGTCTACAGACGATGTAATTATTAAAATAATATTTGGATCTTTGTTCATCTTCTGTATGCAAAACATTTATTGTCAAAACTATAATATTTTGAAACTCAAAATTAAAGTTTGTGATGGGATAGAATTTTTAAAAGCTCATTCGATGAAAGCCCACAATTCCTATTATAATACTGGATAGTACCATTACTATGGTATTCCTGTAACTATACCTAAATCATAATAGCACCACGCGTTTGCAACTTCTGGGAGAACGCAATTAAAGTCGCGTTCACACGAAACTAACGTCGATGAAAGCGCCTTATAGTTCAATCGACGATAAAAAATTCGAAGTGAACCCACTATGGCAACTTTCTCGAGCTATCTCGCTGAAGATGCTCTCCCCGCGTCTCCACCGGTCGCAAACTCCCTTAATTTCAGCAACCTTCGATTATAAATTATTCATTCCTGCAGCTTCGTCGGAATTCATTAACACTTCCATAGAAATAAATATGATTTGTGGCCGTGGCTGGGCTAGGTGGAAAATAGATTCGTAGCTCGGGCCACGGGGACAGTCGATAAATCCTCGTGCTTCCGCCAGCTTCGTGCGCCGTTTCGTAGAAGGAATTAAGGGAGGACGAGAAAGGACGAAGGGCAGGAGGGAGAAAGGGACAGAACGCGTGGATAAGGGAGGACGGAAGGAGAGAGGAATTAAATGGTTCCAGCATCGGCACGCTTTAGGGTCCTTAACCGTGCTGCTGTGCCGAAACGGTCAAAAGGGCCGCTACTCCGTTTTGAAATCGGTTGTTGGCAGCCCCGACACGCCCTAAACGATTCGTACTCGTACGTGTGCGAGCGTGAAGCTTGCTGCCTGCCCCGGTATCGGTTTGCAAACGAGCAGCGAGCTTTGATTGCACGGCGAGACGAGGGAGAAGTGGCCGGCGGTTACTTTGAGACTCGCGAAACGAAAAGAGAATTTCATCCGCAGGTTATGCGCATGCGTAACTGCGCCGCGTTAATACTTTGATACAGCAGCGCCGCTCGCGTGGAACGCCGCGTCGCATCGTCGACCTGCTTTACATTCGATGTTAAACGCGCATAAATTCGTAGCTTTCTACGCTGGTGATCTCTCGCGGACCATCTCGTCCCGAATGCTCGCCAGTCATGTCGGTTCGGACTTTATCCACCGACGATTCCTTTAATTCGCCACCGATCAATTCCTGAAAAACGCTGTCGTTCGGCTCTTTTTCCTTCTTTTCATCCGACCGCGAGTTAATTAACGGTAAATTCGAATATCTCTGATTCGTAGAAACCGAGTGTGTTGTATTTGTCAGATATTTAAATCCGTTTCCATAAGAAACATTTGTTCCCGTAGCACTGTGCAATACGTGTTGATATACGGAAGTTTGAGGTTATGTGTTATTCTGTGCTTACCAGTAGGAGAGGGCGTTTGAGGACGAGTGTAGAATGGTTTGAGAAATTATTTGGCATAATAGAGAAATAAATCCCTTTCATGAAAAATACTTGGTGATTATAGTAACTTTTGTACGAAGAAAAAAGAATATTTAAATTATAAAATTGTACTTTCAAGATTTGTTTATTTGATTAGACAAATGTATAAATAATTTTATTGTTGTTATATTATATATTATATACATTATATGAGCCGTTTATTCTGAAAGTGGCCTAACTCCATTCTTGGTAAGAAAACGCATATTATTCATTTAATAATTTTCATTATTTTAATGGGAACTGTAAATTTAACTCCTTTAGATACACTTAAGCAGTATGATTCATATTGCATTCATAATTGCATTGAAACACATACCCTTAAATATCTCAATTTAAGTATAAATGGACTTATGCCACTTTCAAAATAAACGGCTCATATATTATATATGTTATATATATTATGTATTATATACTTTATATATTATACATATTTTATATTATGTATATTATATACATTAATTCCATTGTTATATACATATGTTATTGTATGAATCTGGAAAAATGACAAATGACAAACTGCAGGTTCTCGATGTCTCCGTAATGGCGCCACTGGAGTGCATAATACTGTGTAAAACTGTAAACTGGTATTCCAACGTAGTATGATTTGAAACGACTCTTCGCATTCGTTTTGACATACGCTATAGATTGCTATCAGATTTGAGATTTCTACAAGCCACGTAATAAAATGTGTATCATATTTCTAGCATTTTTTAATTTATTTATTATTGCGTTCGAGAGGCAATCCTAGTCGCCATTTTGATCGATGTTAATGAATATTGTAGGACTATTCCCCAATAATCCCTTCGCAGACAAAAATCTGCCGATTTAATAAGCAATGACACCATTTTATAACAAAAACAGATTTATTTGAGGTTAAATACAGCGTCCTCTTCCCGCTATACTACAGTATATCAAATTAAAAATTACTCAACGATGTGTGGAATTTTATAGAAATTTGTATAGGATTTTTTATTTACCCTTTTGAAAATATCGTCGACTTCATAGCAGAAAATCTTTGAATTACTACTTTTCTGTAAAATTTAAAAAAATCGCCGAGTGCGAATAATTAATATTTTCTATTATATCTATTACTTTTATTATTTTCTACATATTATTACTAACATTTATTTCCCCATTAACTAACCCATTATTAAATCGATATAAAATTCTTTTTCATACCTAAACAGCGATACTAATAAATCCCAAATCGAAGTTGTTGCAAGGTTATGCCACTCGACTCTCCCTGAATATTTCTTCGTAAAGCAGGAAGAAGTTAGTATTATTACCCACTCGCAAGGGTGCAACTTGATTATACCGCGTAACATAAACAATTTTTCAACGGAACAACTTCACCAGCGCCAGGCTTGCGCGTTTACACATAAATCTCCCCTCTCCTGATGCAACAGAAGTCCACGGAGTGTAATTACGACGATTAACTCTGCCTCTCCTTATCCTTGAACAAACCCGAGGAAACATCCATTGCAGAGCTCCGTTTCTTTTTTCTGTTACAGATTGTTCAACGCCTCTCACTACGGTAGCAGCAACCTAGCCTCAAACCTAACCTCGAGCAACCTGAACCTGGGCAGCCTGAGCGGCAGCGTCAGCCCCACGGCGTCCAACATGAGCGCGTGCATGGTCCAAGGCGCGTCCTCAGGGGTGCCAACTCCGGCGGGCATAAACCACCACGTGACTCCGCACAGCCCCAGCGAGGCGAAGAGTGGCTACCCTTACCTGGGCGGCATAGAGTCGCAGGTCTGCGGCAGAGTTCACTGAACTCGGCGGAAACAAGATGGCGGCTGGACTAAAGAGCGGAGTAACTGGGAACCTTTTCTAAACGATAAACGTTACGACACGAAATGAGACGTTACGTAAGGTGGACTGCTTTTTGTCGAGCTAGTAGCAGACAAAAGGCTACTTCGAACCGGGAGTGATATAGATATTATATTTGTACATTGTTTCACCGGGGAAATTTAAGTGCTCTCTTTCGGAATCTTAAATTATAATTAATTAAACGCTGCCGCAATGCAAATATGTACATAGCTCGAAGATTTTATTGTATATCTAGTTTTAAGTTTCTATTCTTTTCCTTTTCTTTTCTCTTCTTTTTATTCGAATCTTTTACAGCAGCTGAGTGCACGTTGAGCGTTAATTCCTTTTGGATCCTCGAAGTTATCGTTCCCTTCGAAGGAAGGTGCTTTTTAACGTCGAATAACAGGGAATGGTAAACTTTTATCATCGTATAATTGGAGCAACCCTTCCGTCAAATTGACGGGTTCCGTAAATCTAGTGTTAAGCAGTCACAAAGTTCGTTGGTACTTATTGTTGTTGCCAATAAGGCTCACGTATATCCATTATTCTGTACAGCTGAAATCACTCTTCGTCCTTCGTTTCTCCACTAAACTCGTTACAATGAATTCATATTCCAGAATACAATAAACTATTAAAGATGTATATTATTTTAAACGGTATATTACCGTATTTATAATTAAATTTATTTCCTTGGATTTAATTGAAGATCATAAAGCAAGTGAAAAATTGTTTCCAACAGAAAAATATTTCAGAAAATTGGTATATTCGAAATAATTATCTAATAACGTGTTTAAATTGTGAATTTGCTAATCTCGAAATTTATTAATATTTATAATTATCGTAGTTATAAATTTTTAATATTTTTACGATTGCAATTACGTTAGCAAATTAAATTCGTTAATTCGAAGGCACAAACCGCGTTCATCGCTGCTTTCAATTCGAAGAAACGGCCTCTTTGAAAGTGATGTTACGCAATGACGACGTGTTGAATGATTTCTAAAGCAGCAGATGTCAAGAGCGGGATTTAACGTTTCGTTTTATCGCTGGTAATTCAACAATTTACCGTTTACGATAAAGCATACACTCGGATTTATTGTATTTTGGGGCTTAGGCTAGCCCAAGAATGAGCACTGTGGATGACATACATCAGGTTGAGTCATCTAGCAAAATGTTAGAAGGTGATATTTTTCCATTAGTGTTAATGGTACGAGAGAAAGTCCGAAGAAAGGAGTATTTACGACGAAGAGCCAAATATTTTGACAAAAAATATTTTTTTCTTAACGTCGTGTCTCTTCGTCGTGTTTATACTGTCTTCGAGATCATTATACACCATGGGTTTAGTAGTAATAGGTACATAAGTTATTTTAACCACTTGCTCTGACAAGAAATTCACAGACTCGTGTGTCAGAACGGTCCAATGTTTCTGTGACAATTACCTGACGACGTGTGTACCACGTCGTTGCCGATTCTGCGACAAAAGCATTACGACGTGCGTGGCACGTCTTTCCAGCGCAAGTGGTTAAAATTACTCGATGTCTGAAAATTGAGCATTAATCGAGTAGTAAATTACAAATACTAAAATCATGAAATTTTCAGGGAATGGAAATAATTAATTTAGCTGCTGAGTGACTTATGTGTTATTTTATTTAACAGGAAAGTGAAATATTCCTATGAAATTGGAATATTTAAATGTGTTTTTCTTTAAACTTCTCGTATCATAAATACTAGGTGAAAAATTTTGGGTCTTATTAAAAAGTTCATACTTTTTCAATCTGTATCTACAGACGAATTTGGGTAGTTGGCCTTGCACACGATAATTTGTTTATAGTGTTTATCCACTGGGGTTGAAATAAAAATTTTGATCTTGTGAATAAGATCACATACACCTAATCCCTCTGACTATTCTTGTTTCAGTCTAAGTCAGTTAAATTTTTATCTAGAAATAAAAATCTGGAAAGCCACTGACAAAGTTTTCACTGACACCAAAATCCATTTTCCTGGCAGAATTTTCATTCTGAGAGAAAGTTTTGATGAAATTAATTAATTTGAAAGATGTTTACGTATATCAAGGCATTCACTATGATAGTCAGATGATTGACACAGGATTTTTCATCTATTGTCACTGATGATAGTGATGGAATGTGTTAAAATTCCATTAGGCTGGTGGGAAATAAATGATTGGCTAAAAGATGTTTGTATTCGCTGTTGATTGATTCTAATAATTCATTCTAATTATTTTGACATCACTGTAGTGTTGAATTTCATAATACAGCGTGACATTATTAATTTTGTACTTTTTTAAAAGAAATTCTTAAAATGGCATTCTTTCAGTATAAACAATACCTGACCTTCTATATTAGAAATCGTAGTAGAGAAAGTATGAATGGAGTTGAAATACCAAGTTCTGGCATTTCCTGTGTATTTTGTAGCAATATTTTATCATGTTCTCTTACATTTTTAACCCTTTGCACTCGAGAGGCGTCTCTCAGTCGCCGTTTAATCAGATTTTGAAGATGTGTGTTAATTAATATATCAAATTTGCAATTAATATATCAAATTTACAATTTATATTAAAATTTACAATTTATATTAAAATTACCCAACGATGCTTGGAATATCGAAGTAAAATAATTCTACGTCTTAATTTGCATACGATTTCTTATCTACCGTTTTAAAATTATCATCGACTTTATGGCAGAAACTCTTCGAATTACTATTTTCCTGTAACGAAAAAATCGTCGAGTGCAAAGAGTTAATAGGAAGAAACGACTAGGATTGGCACTAGAACTACCAATCCAGTCAAAGAATTTTCTTTTTAGAAAAATGCATATAATTTCTTATTTACTGTTTTAGAAATGTCGACTTTATAATAGAAAGTCTTCGAATTACTATTTTCCTGTAACGAAAAATCGCCGAGTGCAAAGCGTTAAATATATAAGCAATTTCTTAAAACAAATTTTACATTCCCTTCTTATTTCAAATTTCTTGATCAATAAACAATACAATTTTCCTAAAATTTTGAACAAATTAATTTACAAATCGATAGAAGAATGACGTGACTTGTGCTCATATATACTCTTTCATCAAGATTGCAAGAAAATAATGATTATAAATGAGAGTCATTATTTCTCATTCACCTAATACCAAAATTAGCCAATTACTCACATAAAGACCGATATTTATAATACTAAATTATAATATCAGGGCATAGAATACATATCTCACGTGTATTCTAAATTAACCACTTTCTCGTTCTCTATAAATTAAGTATCAGACACGAATGATCGATGATCGTATCGAAACAAGATTTAATTCGCTATAAATTCGTCCAGTCCAATTTGATCAGGATTTTTCTTCGAATTGTTTAATTTTTCCAGTTTCAGAGCAGATAAACAAAGATCGTAGATAAATTTGCATACGTGCATGGCCAGCTACGCATTTTTCATAACGCCTATCGAGATTAGTTTCGCGTTTCGTTCGCTCATATTGTATATACCAGGACATGGAAGTGCCCAGTTAAACCGACACTGTAAATAATTAACACACGCGTGCATGTTCGATTAGCATCCCGATTATACGACTAATAAATCCGCGCCTACCCAACGACACTAACCGAGTAGCTTAGGCTAAAGACACGTTAGCCGGTTCACATAACCAGCGCTGTCCATGGGTGAAAGCCCTTACACGCTATGACCCTCTTCCACACGTCGTCGCTGTAAGAAAACAGGAATTTCGAAAAAGATGTTATACAAATTCGACTCGAGTTTTGGACAGCACTGATGTAGACCTTAGAGGACAAACAGCTCACAGAAATCGCATATGTACTTATGTCGGACAGGAAAATTTTTGTGCGGGGTTGTTTGGAAAGGTCGTGAGGAAGGATAAGAAAAATTTAGAAATTTGGGTATTTTTGGAGAAAATATGCTTTATTGAATAATGTATGCATTGTTTCTTTTAGCGAAGATTTGTTATTTAATAGGTTATTTTGTGAGTTTCTTGGTTTTATAGGGAAATGAAATTTTTATATTGGCACTGTTAATATTAATATTGATGATAATAGTATTAGTGACATTAATATTTATATCAATGTTTATAATATTAATAATATTAATATTACTATCAATATTAGTAATATTAGTGAAATTAATATTACTATTATTATTAATATCACTTCTCACAGTATTAGTATTAGTAATATTATAAATGTTAATACTAATATTTGAAATTAACAATATTCCACACTTTAATATTGGAATATTCTTAATATTAATATTGATGATAATAGTATCAGTGATATTAATATTTATATGAATATTGATTATTTCTATTATTTCTAATAATATTAGCAATATCAATATTAATAATATTAATATTGTTATCGATAATAGTAATATTAGTAAAATTAATATTGCTATTATTATTAATATCACTTCTCACAGTACTAGTATTGATAATATTATAAATGTTAATACTAATATTTGAAATTAACAGTATTCCACACTGGAATATTGGCACTGTTAATATTAATATTCATGATAATTGTATTAGCGATATTAATATGTATATCAATATTGATTATTTCTATTATTTCTAATAATATTAGCAATATCGATATTAATAATATTAATATTGCTATTATTATTAATATCACTACTCACAGTACTAGTATTAATAATATTATAAATGCTAATACTAGTATTTGAAATTAACAATATTCCACACTGGAATATTGGCACTGTTAATATTAATATTGATGATAATAGTATCAGTGATATAAATATTTATATCAATATTTATAATATGAAAAATATTAATATTGCTATTATTATCAATATCATTTCCCACAGTATTAGTATTAATAATATTATAAATGCTAATACTAATATTTGAAATTAACAGTATTCCACACTTTTTATAGTGATCAGAATAACTGACAGTGAATTTCTATTAACTTAATATTTTTG